CCAGGAAAGAGTTAGTGCATGGATATATGCGTAGGGCAATAACACATGCTGCAAGTATTCATTTTCTAAGGATGTGATGTAGTGGGTGTGTTCCTTCTACTGGTCTTAAAATATCAGCTTAGTTTCTTTTTACTATAGTGTCTACTGAAAAATTAATTTCTTGAAGAATTTAAACTGCAGCAATATTTATGAATCCGTGGTCTTCCCTTCTGTACCCCATGAATTTATTTATTATTTACAAAGCTTCTGAACCTCCTCAATCTTAAAACGATTGTAGACAGTACATAATGAACAACATGCAGAATGCAGAATACACAAACTACAATGATATAAATTACATTAATATTATAATACTTCTACACATCTGGCACTGATAATTTCCACTAGTTGTGTGTTTATTTATTTATTGTATATCGTCATCTGTGATGCAAGAGACATCCCTCTGCTGCACCCAAGAACCTCTGGATTAAGGCAGTCAATATTAGCATGGGTGCTGTTGGCTACCTTTCTGCCAGTATCCTGTCTGGCACAGATCCTACTTTCTTGCTCTTACATGAGGGTTCCCCAGTCTGGAGCCTTCTAGCTGTACCAATAGAAGAGAATATACCCCAAGGACCCCCTTCTAGCTGTGTTAGGACTATAAATCCCATAATTCCTTAGTTATGCTAACAGAATGCTGGCTTTAAGTTCTGGGGGTTTGATCACTTTTGGAGAGCACTAGGTTCTCCACCTTGATACCCTCTAGATCTTAAGAAAATTATAGACCGTCACATTATAGATTGTGGAAAGCTACTCCAGACATAAACTTGGAAGAACCATTCTGAACAGACTCACTCCAGTTGTTGCTTTCAGAATTCCTCCTTCAGAACTTCAGGAGGAAGATCCTGGATCACCAATCCTGCATCATTCTTGGAATCCTTCTGCTCTTGGTCCCTTTGCAGATGTCTCACAAACTTATTATGTTGTATTTGTGTTATATGTGTTATATTGCCCCAAGTAATTAATCTGTCTTTTGTGCTGCATCTGACTTGACTGCTTTGACTGCTTCAAGGTTGCTTAATGTATAGATTGCATCTACCTCCTGGGTCATTCTCAATTAGCTGGCTACATCAAAGCCAGAGAAGCTTTGCCTTAGGGGAAGGTCAGGGTTAGGTTGAGGTTAGTTACATCAAGATAACTGGCTGAAGATTTTCCCCCCACTAGCAAGCAAACTCTGCTGGAAGGCGAAAGAGAAGATAAATCACGGGACATTTTCTGCAGTTGGCAGAGAAATTGAAACCTACAGTTGAGGAGTTCCATTTAAAATGTAATCATTAGGTTCTCCTCCACACTTTTATCATCTCCTCCCTTGCCTTATCTTCCTCCCCCATATTCCTTCTGCCATTCATTCTTTGAAAATGGTACCTGTAAAAATTATTTCAGCCAAGTGTTCAGATAAGCAGCAATGAACTTTCTTTTCAAATAATCCAGGGTGGCACTTTGATACAGTAGTAATAGGGAGAAATATTCAAACGAATGCAAGAAGCTATTTCTACAGGAAGCTGCTATGGCATTTACTGTGTTTCTTGCAGTACAAAATAAAATAATATCCCTGTCATGACAATCCAAGATCTATAGTACCCAAACTGAGCTATATAATCTCTGTAACTGATGTAAATCTGGAGTGGAGAATCTTTTGGCGGCTGTAAGCCACGCCTAACATTTTTGGGGAAGGTGAGAACTGGGGTAAAGAGGGCAATGGAGCTTTGGCAAAAATATGGGTGACATCAGGATTTCTGTGGGATTCTCTTTTCCTGGGTTTTGCTGGGGAATTTGTTTTTTTTTTAAACTATGTTAGGGTTTTGGATGTTTCTGTTTTTTTTTTAAACTATGTTAGGGTTTTGGATGTTTCTTGTCATGACAGGGATATTATTTTATTTTGTCCTGCAAGAAACACAGTAAATGCCATAGCAGCTTCCTGTAGGTAAAGAGGGCAATGGAGCTTTGGCAAAAATATGGGTGACATCAGGATTTCTGTGGGATTCTCTTTTCCTGGGTTTTGCTGGGGAATTTGTTTTTTTTTTAAACTATGTTAGGGTTTTGGATGTTTCCTGCCTCAAATAGTGAGAAAGCAGGCTTCTGATTTTGGACAGTTTGGGAGTTGCGTATATTCATCACACACTCAGATTACTTTCCTCTGATATAAATGAAAGCAGATATTTGTAGTATTTTAACACAAAAGTGATATTTGATTTAATTTCCTTTTTTTTTTTAACCAATTGGTCCTGAGTGGGGAGATATTCTAAACATGGAACAGAACTATCTTGAATCAACAATATTAATGTCATTTGTTTGATGTTTGTTAAGTCTTGGGAAGTTCATAAAGGATTTTTTTGTTGGAGATATGCTTTGCATGGAGAATAGGGCTGTAGGATTTGCAGACTCCTCAAGATTTGGGTACATTCCTAGAGCTCCTTCAAAACTTGACACCAAATTATAATGATTAGGACATTGCAGAAAATTATTAAATATATGAGAAATAATTGTTTTAACCATCTTCATTTAATGTAAATTTAATTTAGTTTTTTTGTGCCAGTCCTAGCACTTTTTGTAAGAAAATCCAAGGCACTTCACTCAGTGGTTAAAGACAACCCATGGCCTCAAAAAGATTAGAAATCTTTCTGAGATTTCTGATGTCGAAGACACATGTTCAATATTTGGCATCTTCTGTTAAAAGAATCCAGTTTGAACAGACTCACTCCAGTTGTTGCTTTCAGAATTCCTCTTTCAGAAGATGAAGGTGAGATATATTGCTTATCACAGATAATAATATTGGGTTTCATAAACAATAAGTTAGGTTCTGGTGTCAGGCAATTTCTTATATTTCTAAGGGCATATGCAGGTTAATTATCATTAACCTCTGATAATGGAAATATTCCTCAAGCATAAAAACACTTTTAAAATGTTTTAAAACTGCAGGCTAATTCAATATGGACAGTTTATCTCAGGATATACCTAGTTAAAGGCTTGAGGGTTGATCTGGGACTCATCTACTGTATATCAACTGTTTGTTAAAATCTTTTAAGTTCTGGTATTTGATAATGGTAAAGCTATTGCATAATTGATTCACTGCCTACCTACAAGTTCTGACTTCTTGACACAGACTGGTATTTCTCAACATTTTTCCATGCCTGATGTCAGCACTCAACATGTTTGGGCAATTGTTAGGACTCAACTGCTGACATCTGTCATACCACCCACCCACCCAAAATCAGCCTTCCAGACTAAGCACTGAATGCTGCTATCTTCATTTTTCAGAGCACTGGCATATTGGAGGCATTGTAGAAAATAAAAATGGGGCCTCCATCACAACACTACTCTGTTATCACTATTATTGTAGGCACAACTTTAACAAGTTCATGGCACTGGGCAGGGAGTAGGCTGGAGGAAGATACTGCCTTAGAAGTAGGCCCAGTGGGCAACATTTTTCCAAATCTCAAACACAGAATCCACCTTGATCACTTTTGAAAATGTTCTGTGGTTAATTTTACACAATTTCAATACATACTAAAAAAAAAAAAAAGTCTGATGTTGCCATTGAATGCATGACCAAGCTTAGTCAATAATTACAATTAGTAAACCACATTGTACTTGATTTCTAGAGTTTTGGGAGCTCATATTATTAATATGACAATTCGCTGTATCACAGCTCTGTAACTTTATTAGTAAAATCAGTTTCTTGGCTGGGTTAGCTGGATAACTCTGGCAGTCATCACAGTATGGCAATCTTAGTTGTATGCAGCAACCATTGAGCCTTGCTTGGGAAAGTGGGATGATAGCAAGCAAAAGGAACAATTTAGAGCAGTGTTTCTTAACCTTATCAACTTTAAGATATGTGGACTTCAACTCCCAGAATTCCCCAGCCAACTCCCAGTTCTGGGAGTTGAAGTCCATGCATTTTAAAGTTGACAAGTTTGAGAAACATTGGTTTAGAGTAACATTCTATTTTTAAAATCTTAACCTTGAGGGTTATGGTCCAGACTGGCCATGTAGCATTTAAGTTTTGAATTATTGTTATTTATTGGGATCTTCTACAAACAATTTAAAGTATGGGCCCAGTTCTTCTTACAAGTTGCTATTTGTGTGTTTTTGAATATATTATGGGCTACTTCTGTAGTCAGATTCTTTGATTTTTCTTGGTTTCCAGTAAACTCCTAACAGAAGAGGTCCTTCTGTATTAAAAGTGGCCAAAAGTAATTATATGAAAAAAAAAGCATATGCTTTCTTATGTTTCACCCATCCCCAAGGAATAAACACATTGTTGCCCTCATATTGCACTTGATATCATTGTGTGAAATTATTCTGAGAGGCTTTGACTGGCCTAAAAGCCAGGTAGGAAATTTTATTACTGTTTTGGACCAAGACCAGAGATTTTCTAATCCCCAGTCTGCTACTGTGGTCCAAGATACCCTGTGAACTTTTTAGCAAAATAGAGACTAAGTCCAGTCTTTCTGATTCTAGTCCAGTGCTGTCACCCATCCTTTTGCCCACTGACATTCACCAGAGGTGTTTGATGATACTGTCAATCATCATGGCAAGTGTTGCAGACTGTGACATCTGGAGGACACTACATTGGCAAGACTGTCCTAGAACCAAATGGTTCTAATTGAAAAGGCAGTATTTAGTTACTAAGTAGAATTTCTATACAAAACTATAATGAGATATACACATTGGAAAGTCTTTAATATGAATTCCACAAAGGACCTCATCGGTGTTTCCAGTTATGGAACACAGAGAAGATCAGAAATTGGAATGCAGTGTTGTCCGTTGTCCACATCTTTGTTTCAGTAGAATAACTGAGTATACCAATTGTTTTTTTAATTGTTGAAACATTTGTTTTTCTTTAAACTACTATTAGATTAGATTTTCTTCTCCCATCCTGTTTAAGATTAAACTGAGCTGTTGGTAAAGAAAGGTATTTCGGATTTGATAACATGCTTTTTTGTATTTTTAAATGGCAGTAAAAACCGGCTTTTGACTATAGTGCCAAGCGATGCTCCCTTTAATACCAGAAGAGCTTACACAAGTGAAGATGAAGCTTGGAAGTCTTATCTGGAAAACCCCTTAACAGCAGCTACCAAAGCTATGATGAGCATCAATGGGGACGAGGACAGTGCTGCTGCTCTTGGATTATTATATGACTATTACAAGGTAGGGAACTCAGTGCTGAAAATGGATTGTTACAGCGGGTGACTCTGGTCTTATTTAAATAAGCCTGGCTCCTGTTCCATTTCCAGGCTCAGTCCAAGAAGTTGATGTGAGGATGATTGGTCTGCCACCTGGGGGGAAGGATACTTTTGTTTTTAACGGTGTTCTTTATGGATTATTGTGAGCCACCTTGAGTCATCATATGAGATAGGCAGCCATATACTGTAAGTCCTGTAAATAAACAAACAAACAAACCAAGAGAAGTATTTTGGAGCCAGTTGTAATCTGTCTCTGAAACTGTAGGTTACTTTCTTGTGATCCATAGGCTACCAGAGACCAAATAAAACGGATCTGAAAGTCAGATCTGGCCACGGATCCTAGCTAAGCTCCACCACTATCCTTAGGGAGACCTTAATATTCTTATAAATAAACTCAACCTTCAAAAATCGTATGTCCTGATGTTTCAGGTTCCAAGAGATAGAAGATTATTGCCTGTTAACAAAGTGAGTGATAATCAAGAAGACCAGGACAAAAGGTAAAATACTTCTGAAACCTTATCTAGCCTCTGTGTGTATGTGTGAGGGGAGAATTCAATGCATATGAATAGAAAAAGACCTTGTTGGTTTGTAAAATTCTTCTTTCTCTCCCCACTGCCCCCAATTTCCACAAAAATGTCATGAAAAGAGGATAGGTTAAGGAAATTAGGCATGGTACAGATCTAAAGATAAAATTAGCCAAGTTAAAAAAAAAATCTCAAGAAACTGGCAAGCTAGAAGTGTCAGGATTGTGGAAGACAGCAACTAAAGAACTGTAAAAAAAAATTTAAACTTTAAAATACTATTTAATATTTTAAAAGGTTTTTAACTGTATCTGCCACTTACTTACGTAAGGGTGGCGCATTCAGTCAGCGAGACCACCCTATCCACAGTACCTTGTTTCGAGAAGCACTCTTTTTTTCATAGTGAGGTGCAATCCATGTTCCAGAACAGTGTTTCTCAACCTGAGC